TCCTCATTTCATGATTCTGCATCAGAAAGCTACAGCAGGGTCTTCAACGTCTACAATAGGAGTCTTCTATTTCGGTGCTTTTGGGATTCCGTTTGTGTTGGTCTCATGGCCCCAAAAGGCTTTGCGACATAAGTTGTCTTTCTTTTAGCATTTACATCCTTCTGGTTTTATCACCTCTGTAAAAATTGTGAAGCACCCTGCGACTAAAATGAAAGTATTTTGAATTTGCTTTAACAAGAAGACGAACACGAGGGACCCATTTTGATTTCCGGTTGCCTTGGGGGGAAGCCAAGGGGAGGTGGCTGGGCAGAGAAGTGCAGGTCACTGTTAGGGAAGGTGGGAGCCTGCCAGCTCCTTGTACGTTTCCCCAACAGATGCCTTATCATCTTCCAAGATCCAGCTGACAGCCCTTGGTCCACACCTCTCCTCCAGCGTTGCCCGCCTGCACTGCTTAACAATAGTCTCTCCTGCCAGACAAGGAAGGTCTGAACACTAGGCCTCTGTCTGTGGCTTAGACATCTTGGCACCCCTGGCCCTTGGCCCAGAGCCGGGCACTCAGCAGAACTCGGGAATCGCTGGCAAAATTAGTCAACAGGCTGAAGGGCTCTGCTCCCCAGACGTGGTTCTCACTTTACACAAATAGCCCCCAGCATCTCCTACCGAGTGGCCTCTGGTGGAGGAGAGTCCGTATGCAGCCCCTGGGTACAGGCACTCACCGGGGGAGGCACTAGGGAGTCCTAGGTTTTAATTTTAAATGTATACATCATTTGCATTCTCCTTCAGAAAGGGATCTAGTTTGGTTTTGATACAAAAATGTTTTTTAAGTTACTTTCAATTAAATTATTTTCCCCGAAATACAGTTCAGTAAACTGGTTGTTCCATGAGGGTGTGTGCCCTTTTTATCCCCCAGGTCTGGGTACCCCCGCCATTGGGGGTGCATATTTAATGCCCACCTTTCTAATGAGGAGCCGCTCCTCCCAGCTTTTCCTTTTTTCTTTTTTAAGCAGCTTCCTCGTGCCAGGGCGCCAGTGCCTGCTCTGCGGAGCTCAGAGATAAGGCACGTCACCGGCTCTGTTGAAATTAGCGGTTTCCATGGCCTCAGTCAGTTTAGTTGGGTTTAGGAGACACGAGGCGCCAAGGAAGTCACAACAGAATTGCTGTTGACCTTGGCCAGGCTGCTCCTGTGGCAGAGTTAAGCACGATGCCGTTTCTCCAGGGATCATTTCCCCCCTCAAACCCCATCACCAGCCGGAGCCACGGAGGTTCACTAGGAGGGCACTTTAAAGGTGTATGTGAAGGAGCATGAGGCTTGAGGAGCCACTTCTCTGAAGAAGGAAGCTTTGCTATGGGTGGGGGGCCAGGGCACGCCTCCACCCCCCAACTCAGTCCCAGCCCCCACTCCTCTCACTGGGAGGCACACTGCTGGGGCTGTTGGGCCCTAGGTGGGCCTTCATGTGTGAAACTGACCCCCTGGGTCAAGGAGAATTCCAAATCCTTTCCCCCTGCAAACAGGCAGGGAGGCGGGAGGGAGGCGAGGAGGGGAGAAGAGATGGACAGCTGGCTCGGCTTTCTGCTCTGAGAAAAAGGCGACAGAGGTCTCTCCACTGACTCGGCGTTACATGAAGACATCACTTGCCCGAGACACAAGCCCCACTAGCTCCGAAAGAGGAAGATAAAGTGAGTGACAAGAGGAAGATAAACTCACTGGGAAGCAAGTCCATCAGCAGCGTTTCCTGATGATGTCTGCACTCAGTGAGTAACACAGGCTCCCCGGGAGGTGGAACCTCCTGGGCCTCCAGCAGCACCCCAGCACCTTCTCCAGGCCCCTCAACAGTTACATTCCCCCCGCTGGCCGCTTCTGAGAGATCCTCAACAGTCCCGGGTCCCTTCCCTGGGGTACTTGCTTCCCTTTCTGGGGTACCTGCAGGACAGTGAGGTGGCACAGCTGCCCCAAGGTAAGGCGGAGCCCAGAGACATCCAAGTCCAGGTCCTGAGCCCATCTCCCCTGAGCCCTCTCTATAGAAGGTAAAAAAAAAAAAAAAAAAAAAATGAAATTCCAAAAACAGTGATGGAAGGACAAGGACCATGATAAGACCAAAAAACATGTATGTGCAGCCCTGGCCAGTTTGCTCACTGGTTAGAGCATCAGTCCATGAACCAAAGGGTTGTGGGTTCAATTCCCAGTCAAGGGCACATACCTGGGTTGCAGATTCAATCCCTATTCTCCCCCCAACCCCCCAAGTCAGGGCAGGTACAGGAGACAACCAGTGGATATTTCTCTCTCTCTCCCTCCCTCCTTTCCTCTCTAAAACAAAATCAATGGAAAAATATCCTCAGGTGAATATCCTATCTAATAAAAGAGAAACATGGTAATTAGCGTACGACCGCTACCCTTCCCATTGGCTAATCAGCAAGATATGCAAATTAACTGCTAGCCAAGATAGCGGCCGGCAGCCAGGCAGCTTGAAACTAACATGAGGCTTGCTTACTTCAGTGACGGAGGACTCCAACGTTCCCCGCCTGCCTTGCCGGCCTCTGAACTTGCAGTTTGAAACATTGTAACAAATATAGAAGCTAAACAAAACCCCAGAAACCTGCTTTCAGCGAGCCGGGATCTCAGAGCTGGAGTTGATACAGAGTTTCGATTATAGAACCCAAACAAACCAGATACCTGCTTTCAGCAGCAGAGGCCTCAGAGCTGGAGCCAGAGCTAAAGCTGGCCCAGAATAAAAAGAAAAAGAAAAAAAGGACAGGTTGGGAGCTTCAGTCACCCACCAGCCTGAAAACAGCCCTCAGCCCCTCACCCAGACTGGCCAGGCACCCCAGTGGGGACCCCCACCCTGATCCAGGACACCCTTCAGGGCAAACCAGCCGGTCCCCACCCGTGCACCAGGCCTCTATCCTTTATAGTAAAAGGGTAATATGCCTCCCAGCACCGGGATCAGCGGAGCTGAGAGGCCTCCCGGCACCGGGATCAGCATGAAAGGGGACAGTGCCCAAACCCCCTGATCGCCCTTCGGCTCTGTGTGTGACAGGGAGTGGGGCCACAACCTCTCTATCCTGTTCTGTTCGTGACAGGGGAAGGCGCCCCAACCCCCTGATCAGCCCTGCTCTGTGCCTGATAGGGGGGAGCTCCCCAACCCCCTGATTGCCCTGCGGCTCTGTGTGTGACAGGGTGCGGCGCCCCAACCCCCTGATCGGCCCTGCTCTGTGTGTGACAGGGTGCGGCGCCCCAACGCCCCTCCCACAGGCCCTGCTCTGTGTGTGACGGGGTAGAGCCATAATCTCCCGATCGGCCCTGCCCTGAGTGTGAGAGTGGCGGCGCCCCAACCCCCTGATCGGCCCTGCTCTGTGCGTGACAGGGGGTGGCGCCGCAACCTCCCCATCGACCCTGCCTTGAGTGTGACAGGGGGCGGTGCCCCAACCCCCCCAATCGGCCCTACCCTGAGCGTGACTGAGGGTGGCATCGCAACCTCCCAATCTGCCCTGCTCTGTGCATGACAGGGGGCGGTGCCCCAACTCCCCAATTGACCCTGCTCTGAGCATGACCAGGGGCTGCACCTAGGGATTGGGCCTGCCCTCTGCCACCCGGGAGCAGGCCTAAGCCAGCAGGTCGTTATCTCCCGAGGGGTCCCAGACTGCGAGAGGGCACAGGCCAGGTTGAGGGACCCCCCCCTCCCCCCCGAGTGCACAAATTTTTGTGCACCGGGCCTCTAGTTAATAAAATAAAACAAAAAAAATGAATGTGCAAAAGTTGATCATTACTCGACATGAAAGATTCTACCAGTTAAGATTAAAAATGAATTAGAGGGAAAATTCTCACAGTGACAGCAGCAGAAAACGAAGCTAATCAACAATCCCGAGAGCAGGGCATTAAGATTTTAAAATGTGTTTAGTATTTATGTGCTAGCCTAGGCTTATTTCTCCTTCACAATGAAATCTAAAACACCTTGGAAATATGCATGATTATCTCAAAGGGGCAGGTTATGCACCAATGGGAATAAAACCACAAACGACGCCCTTTCCTGGGGGAGACCAAGGTCAGGACTCCTTTTCCTCCCTGGTAATCCACTTCGGCACTTCAGCAAATTAATGCAACTGGCTTCAGGGAAACGTTCTCATTAAATTAATAGTGTTTGGCAAGCATCAGAAACACAGAATCTCACAGATAGATACGGGCAGAAAGAATCACAGTTCAATCCAAAAGCCACACACGGAGGAAACATCAGAGTTCACACGCATGCAGGGGAGCCTCGGGGGCGACGGGGGGGACACACACAGCCACCCCCGGAACACGAGGCAGCAGAATGGGCAACATGAATCCAACTGCTTACCCACTAAGGACACCAAGAACCAGGTTAAGGACGAAAAATGAGCCAAGGATAATCAGACTAACAAAATACACCCATGGCCATTCCCATCCTATCGCATCATTTACCTGTAAAATGTAAGGAGATGTTATCAGTTATCTATTTACTAAAGAGCAGAGCCCCAGGAGCAGCTGCCAGACCACGTGGGGCTTTGGTGGAAAGTCAGTGCCCCTAGGGCTGGACCCCACCCAGGGCCTTCCGTTTTTTGTCTTCACCTAAGGATACGTTCTGCTGCTGAAGTCTGGGGCCTACCAAAAGTCTGCTGGGACCAGCTCATTTAGTGACTGTTTTGTACCAATTCATCTGCATTATATTTGGATCCAGACCAATAAAGCAATTATAAATGTGTCTCATTTTAGGACAGACAGAAGGGCAAGCAATGGAAAGTATTTAAATGCCAAGCAACAACGCTGATTAACTCCTGGTCAATAACTATCCTATCGCTGCCTTTCATGAAGGCTGGTGAGGTTCCAGGAACCGTCGTGACTTGGGAAGCCTCAGCAGAGGACAAGCGTCTTGGAGGACACGGGAGGCTTGGCACCCACCCGGCGGCCCCATCTAGCAAAGCCTGTGTGGTCTTGGCAACTGTCCTCAGGGCTCTGCTTTCAAGATGAAAGAGGTGTAGCTTACCCGCTCAATACACCAAGTACAAGATTTAGTACGAAAAATGACCCAAAGATGACGAGACTGACAAAATACACCCAGGGCAATTCAAATCCCATAGCATCATTCATCTGTAAGAAACAAGATGGTCTCATAGGGGTGGGTTAATAAGGGAATCTATTAAGGAGAGAGGGTCACATTAGAGACAGCATTCTATACATTTAATGAAACATTTACTTAGATTTAAGTCAGAGACAACAGTAGCCAATACATTTTCATTATATATTACACACACACACACACACACACACACACACACACACACACACACAGAGGCATCAAAGCCTTCAGGGCAACTGAGAGCCAATTTTGGCCACCGGTAGGGCAATCAGCTGGGATTTGGCTTTTCCTCACAGGAAGCTGCCGCCATTAGGGATTTTCTGAAAGGATCTTGGTAGAGGACAAAACTACTGCTTCGCTGAAAATTATTTCCTCCTCTGTCCAAGTTGTTGGTACTTTTTTTGCTTCTGAAATTTGGGATGGTGGAAAAGTCTTAGTTATAGAGACAAACTGGCAACATTTGACTCTATAAATTCTATTCTTTAAAAAAAACACACACACACTAAAATAATAACTTTCCATTGGGAGCCAACCTCTCCAAGGAAACCTACCACCCTAAATCTGAATGGCCCTCAATCAGGAGTCAAGCACAGCTAAACTAATGCAAAGCAGGCGAGCGCTCAGAAGTCAGCGAGCTGACATGCTCCAGGAAATGAGATTTTCATGCCTGCACCACAGGAAGGACCCAGGAGAAGGAGACGCACTATCCCCCACACCGACCCTGGATGACCCGGCCTGGAAACCTGGCTTCCTCTAGAGCAGTGGTTCTCAACCTGTGGGTCGCCACCCCTTTGGCGGTCGAATGACCCTTACACAGGGGTCGGTCGCCTAAGACCATCCTGCATATCAGATATTTACATTACGATTCATAACAGTAGCAGCATTACAGTTAGGAAGTAGCAACGAAAATAATTTTATGGTTGGGTCACAACATGAGGAACTGTATTTAAAGGGTCAGAAGGCTGAGAACCACTGATCTAGAGAAACCCCATGCCCCACTGTCGCACACGCTTCTGTGGGACAGTCAGACATGGCCTCCCCGACAGACACCCCCAGGAGGGTTTGGTCACGAGCAGCTTTCATGCTGGAGCGAACAGGTACTTTAAAGGTTCACGGCCTGATGGAACTTTCCAACAGCACAGGTCAGTGTTAAATTGGGCAAACGCTTCTCCCAGGAAGGAGATGCTGAGGGCCAGTTGGGGACAACAGGAATGACCCCAGGCCCGACTTTGCTGGAACACCCAGCACCTCCGGCCGACAGAACTATACCTAGTCTGGGCCGACTCGTGGCTCTTGCCTTGCAGGTACAAGCCCTTCGGACTTTACGCATGTGCTTTCCTCCACACTATATGGCTCCATGTTTCAGCTTTACAGAATGAGACTCATGCATCTCACTGTTTGCCTCACACAGAAGCCAAATAGGAAAAGAGAACATTAAAAAAAATTACCTAACATCTGTTACTGAAGCCTAGGGAAAGGGCATTAAATCCCTTACGAAACACCTGTTTGGCCACATGAAAACTGATGTGCTTAATAGAACTCATATCAGTCTGCACATCTTACACTGGCAATTAGAGTAATGAATGAGCCGAGGCCATGGCTGCAATTGTTGATCTAATTAAGCTGGATAAACTAATTTCAGCAGGAAGGCAGAGGGTAATTCTTCCAAAGCAGCTACGCCACCAAACTTACTTAAAAACCCATGTGTGGAGGACAAGAAAACAGGCTGCTTGGTGTAGTGGCCAGAGCCCAGCCTGGAGGCAGGACCTTCCACAGGGACCTCTCTGGGCCTGCTTCCTCTCTATTGGAACAGGGGTGCGTAGGACAGGAGAGAGCATGCTCACAGGATGGGAGAGAGCTGTCCAAGTCCAGGACTCCCACCAGGAGACTTCGCTTTTCAACAACTCTGGCCGAGTCAGTGGGCTGAGCCCTCTGCTTCACCCCTTCATTTGGGCCTCAGTCTTGTGTTGTCTGCTCCACGTGGGAGGAAACTTTTATTTTTAAGGAAAGACCTTTACAATTTCTTGGGAGTGTTTGACAGATTCAGATTTGCTCAAGTCAGAAATATCACCTGGAATGACCACTGGAGGCCGGGGGCAAGGCTAAAGCTAAACAAAGGCCACAGGAGACTCTAATCCCCAGACATCAGGGAAGAGAAGCAGAGCTCAGGCTTCGAGGCCAGTCTTTCTCCCCACTAAACCTGCTCAACCCAATCTCTTCTCAGAGGCCAGTCTTTCTCCCCACTAACCCTGCTCAACCCACTCTCTTCTCAGAGGCCAGTCTCTCTCCCCACTAAACCTGCTCAACCCACTCTCTTCTCAGAGGCCAGTCTTTCTCAGACCTTACATACACAGGACAAATCAGAACTGGCAAGCTGTTCCCCAAAATACCCACATGAAAACAGAGACACTAGTTGGGATTTTGTCTGCAAGGTCTTTATTCACAATGGGGAAATCAGCATGAGCTGAAGCATTTCAATTTAGATTGCTTTTTCAAATATTTATATCAAAATTATCATGTGGAGCCACCTGGTGCCAGGGAATAATATTCTATTGGGTGTCAGTTTTCCCTTACTTCAAAGGTTGAAATGTATATTCATGTCTCCAATTAAAGGCCATCCTAACACTACTGGAAACACCACTGGATACCTGGGATGCTGGTTGTAGGTAGATCCCCTGAGCATGGAATAAGAGAAAGGTACAGGAAGGCAAGCACTTGGCCAACTAGAGAGGAATTTCCAGGTACCCTGAAGGAAGTCAATAGTTGACCACGAGAATACCCCATTAGAGCCCGACAGCCAGCAACTCCATAGGTGCCTTCACTGAAAAGAGCTTGGCAATAAGGCAAGAGGCCACATATAATTTATATGGACAGCTCTCTCCTGAAACCAATACTTTTCAAATTAATTTCTTACATTCAAAAACATGTCCTCTGAGTTAAAGGAGAAAAATAAAAAAGAATCATGTAGTCTTGTTCTGCATCTTAAAGAAAACAAAATTAAAGCCCAAAGAGCCCCAGTGACCTGTCCAAGGTCAAACACCAAGCCCTAGCCCAGCCCTAATGTTCTTTCCTTGCACTACATCCTTCTGCCTCTGTGGCCAACAAATGTGTGCGAGTCTGATGGCAGCTTAATTATGTTTATGGAACTCAATTTATAAAAGTTCCATTAATAACTTTTTTCCACCGGAGTTAATAATCCTACTCCCCACACATCCATATGGTTCTAAGTGTGTCTTTCTGAATATCAGGCATACCTGTACTTTCCTTCTCAAGACCACTGGCAAGACTCTCTTGAGATCTGAGGTCTCAATGAGCTTGGTAACTGACTGAATATAAACCTGTCAAGATGCACATAATCCCTGGCAAAGACTTTATCCACCATATACAAACACCCAAAGGATTGGAAAATTTGCTTGCCATCAATATTTTAAATCAAATCTCCTTAGTTATCTCTCAAGATGTTGTTTCCTTGATACCCTAGTTGTGGACAAAAATTAATATTTAAACATGGCCCATCTACACTGAGGCAATGGGATTTTACACTTGAAGAGTAATAGTAATTAGTCTTTGCTGTGCTGGGCATGCATGTTCTGTTCTGGAGCAGCTATGTGGCTTCCAGCTGACTGTGGCCCATAACATATTAAGAAGGCCGGGTGCCTTGCCTGCCTATCTCTATGATGTAATCAACAGGTAATTAAAAACAACCTGATGTGTTTCAAAGACTAAGACCTTGGTGAAGACGGTGGAAGACATGACTTTGCTGCCCCAAATGTTATAGAAGGGTGGAGAAATAAATACCAAGGAGAGAGAGTGCTGGATTCTAGTCTAGACCAGGGGTCGACAAACTATGAGCTGCAGGCCAAACCCACCCAGCCACCTGCTTTTGTACAGCATTTGAGCTAAAAGTGGCATTTACATTTTTAAATGGTTAAAAAAATCAAAAGAGTATTTTATGACACGTGAATGTTATACAAAATTCAAATTTCCGTTTCCATAAAAATGGCTTCATTAGAAACCATCTGTCTACATGTTGCCAATGGCTACTTCTGAGCAACCCAGAGCAGAGGGCAGAATTGAGTTGTGACACAGACATTATGGCCTGCAGGCAAAACACATTTACTATCTGGCTCCTTATAAAAAAAAAGAACATATACCCACATTCTAGATCAAGGACCACAATCTCTTGCTGTAGGGCCCTAGGGATGTTCAGTGATCTCTCTATAGTCCATTGTTTCCATCTTCAAAATCCCAGACTTTCTATAAAGGGATATAGGCTGGAATAATATTAATAAATTATGTGTGTTCCTCCATTAAAATAAAGATGCCATGTAGTTCATAGAGACTATAATTATTATATTGTTAAATTATTAACTCTGATTGTCATATTAACAATAGAGATCACAATTACATGATCTTGGGTGATCCTGCAAGGTTCTCAGGAAGGCAAGTGGAAACTCATTTCTGGGCACATGGAGTTTTCTCTCCTTTAATCTCACACTCCCAGAGGTTTCACTTGCTTGACAAATGGAAACTGTGATGAGAGAATGTGCAGAAATATAACATAAAGTATAAAATTGTCCATTAGTCAAGGCATGTTGGATCAGCAGTGAACAATTTACCGTGACTAGAGAGAACAACAAAGTGGAGAGGATCACAGATTTTTTTTTAATCAAAATGCTGTTTTCTGTACTGTTTCGGGGAAGGATTCAAGTTTGGGCTATTTGGATGATGCTTTTTGGATTTACAAGAAATTTTAAGGGAAATCTGGGAGTGAGAACTCAACTAATCTAATGAGGAGTTGCAACTTTTTAAACAATACTAGTGAAAAGGAACCCTTTGCTTAATTTGAGGGTCCCCTTGCACGACCAGGGTCTTGGCTCATCCAATATAATCTCCCTCCTTCGTCCTCTCCATGAAAGGCATTGATATATAAATATAAACAATAGATGTGCATACACACACACACACACACACACACACTCCTATAACAACAAGGAAAAGGAGAGAAAAGGGGAGAAACAAGGAATAACATGCTGGTGCTGCTTAAACCTTATTACCAAACTAGACACAGACTTTGGGGTTGAAAATAAAAACATACCCTCCCTGCCTAACATTGAGGATAGAGGGACTTCTATAATCCTGTAAGCATGTGGTCACTGGTGAAGGGAAGCAAAAACCTACTATAACCCTCAGATGCTCTGTTCTCTGAAGTTACAGAGAAATATGAAATCCTATAAAGCGTCTAAAATTTAAAAGCTACATCTCAATCTGCAGGCCTTCTCGCTAGAGACTGCCCATTCAAGAGGCACTGTATTACTATGAATTGCCTTTTAACAAGTTATTATTGGAATCCTGGTTAATCTCATTTGGATTTTGGTTTAGCCTCAAAATCTACATGTCAGCTGTTTTTCCCAGCAACTCTGTGGCATGGAAAATAATTTCTAAACTTCTGTGAGCTTGTTCAAATTCTACCAAACAAACAAACAGGCTCAGCTCGGGGAAATGGCTGTTGAAATGCTACCACTCTTCATTTATGGCCAAGCCTCCTGGCACTGTCTGGATCAAGAAGAACCAGACTCCAGCCATCGAAGGGGTGTCCCCCCATTTTCACGGCCAGCTGGATGGGTCCCCGCTCCATTTCTACCCTCTCTGCCAGAGTTCTTTGGCTCCAAAGAGAAAGGAAGAGAGAACTAAGGGCTTGTGCTGGGCTGATTTATATGGTACTGAAGAGGCAAGGGAAATATAATAGGGGAAAAAACCCATTTTGGCTTTAGGGCTGTGCTAAGTTATGGAAAGCATGAAAGGTATGCAATTTATGTTCCCTATCTTCCGTTTCGGAGACTAGTAAAGCAACCTTCCTTGGTGTATAAAAGAACAATTTTAGCCCATGAAGCCTCTTCACCTGGGAAATAACTCCTGGCTCTCTAAGAGCTTACCGGGGCCAGCCTGGCCTTCTGGGCTCCTCCAGGAAGGGGCCACTAGGCGCACTGGGCAAGCACTCCCCAGGCAGCCCAGGGGCGTGGAGGGAGCCAACACTGGCCTCCTGCTCTCTAGAATGGACACTAAATGCCTGAGGAGGAAAGATGATGAGTCTTGCTGAGTGAAGAGAGGGTCTGCTTCCCTTCCCCAAAACACTGACTTGCAGGGTTTCTTTTTCAGTCAACTCCCCAATGGCTCTAGCTAACGCAACTGTCATCCAAAGAAAGAACACTCCACCAGCTCCCTCCCCTCACTGCTTACCCAGTAGAGCACGTCTGTCCAGCCCTCCATGGTGATGCACTGGAAAACGGTGAGCATAGCAAAGGCAAAGTTATCGAAGTTGGTGATGCCTCCGTTGGGGCCAACCCAGCCACTCCTACACTCCGTGCCGTTAATGATACACTGGCGTCCATTCCCTGAGAACGCACATGGCGCTGGGTCCTCTTCAGCTACGATATCTGCAAGCAGAGCAAGAAGGCTTCACAACCCAAGGATGAACATCGGGACACCCACGCCTGAGGAGGCCGAGCACCGTTGCTTCCTCCCATCTCTGCTGTCTCCGAATCCCACTTGGCCTTCAAGGTCCGCTCCACACAGTGCCTCCTCCGTGGAGTTTGCCATTTCCTGTACTCACAGCACCTTTCTCTCCCGGGGCTCTCCCCTCTGTGCTCACTCACAGCACCTTTCTCTCCTCGTGCTCCCTGGCAGCACCTTTCTCAAGTCTGTATACAATGCCACTGATGCGCCTCCTGTTCTAATTTTGGGGGGTCCCTCGTCTTGCTTGCCAGGACACATTATACAGGAAATCAGGACCAAAAAGGAGATTTATTTATTTTGAACATAATTCACACTAGGAACTGGCCCAGTAAATTTACTGGTACATTTGGCTTCTTTTTTTTCTCACTCTCATTTTGTTTTAGATTTTCTCAAAACCACAAAAGTTGTTTGGGAGGAAATAAAAAGTTGGGTGAGCGACCATTTTCATTACTCACCTGAGTCAGCAAAAAAACATGTTTTGTGCATTTTTCCAATAAAAAGTTCCAATCCTATAATAGCATAGATTATGATTACAAATAATACCAAAAGGGCTATGTGAAGGAGGGGAACCATGGCTTTTATAATGGAGTTCAGGACAACTTGTAAACCTAGGAGAGAGAGAAATAAGTTTGTGAGCCAGGAAGAAACTTCAGGGATGCACATATATAATTCCTAATGGCGCCTGCTTTGCATGTGACACATAGTAATAAGACTCAAAGAGATATCTCAAAGCTTTCAATTAGCGTTAATCTGGATGTGAAATAAGTTAAAACGAAAACTTAAAGATCATCTAATCCAACTTCCTCACTTAACAGATGGGGAAGGCCTAGAGAGGGGACTGTCCAGTTTCAAAGTTAGTCATTCATGCATGCATTTGTTCATCCATTCAACAACGTTCCTTGAACATCTACCACGTGGCAAGCATCAGGTTAGTGCTTTGGGAGATATGAGGATGTATTACATAATGTGCCTTCTCTCCAAGAGCTTGTATCCTAGGAGGAGACATAAGAATTAAATGCAAAGGAAAGGTCGCACACAAATGCTGTGTGAGTAACATCAGTCACAGTTACACACCGTTTCTGAGTGGGGAGGAGAAAGAGGACTGGGTGGCAGCCCCCTTTCGGCAGGGCCTGGGTCTGAGGAGGGTGATTTCCACGGGTGGGCAGGGGAGAGGCTATGCCAGGCAGAGGGGAGAGCGCACCAAGCGCACAGAGGTGAGCCAGCGCTGTATGGGCTCGGGATGGGGAGCCTTGGCTGGTGAGAACAAGTGGAAAGGAGTATCAGGAAGGAAAAGCAGCCTGCAGCTAGGTAGCTCTGGGCTTTGAATCTGGGCTACAGGACCATCTTTAGTCCGTTAGCGAAAGGCAGCCTCTTTAGCAAGATGAATGGGGCAGCAGTAGACAGGATCGGTGGAGACCAGAACTCAGCAACTGAATTTGAGGGAGAAGAAGGTACCTATAGAGGCAGGGTCATGAGGAAATCCTAGTGCCCAGCCAAAAAAACAAAAAGCATGTCAAAAGGAGGCTCTCCTGGAATGAGGGAGGCAGGAGACAAGCAGAGGAAGGAGAGCAACTCAGAACCAGTGAGTCGATCGCGGCACAGCAAGAAGAGGAAAGCATGCTGCAGCGGAACCCTGGGCTTGAGAGATGGGGAAGGGACACGAAAGCGTGGAGGCTGTCCACGGAGTGATACTCAGAGCCATGGTATAGGAAGAGAAAGAGGGAGAATGGAAAGGGGGATGGTGGGTGGGAGGAGGCAGAAGACTGAGGGACAGTGATGGCCAGGAGACCAGAACTCATACTAGAACCTGACCTCCACGTTTAGTGTCCTACCTTCTTCCCACCACCCATGACCACAGCTTCTGCTCTGCACAGTTCACTCTCCTCTTTATTCTCTTCCCCTTCCCCTCCCCACTGTCTCGCCTCATTCAAGCAGCCCTTTTCTAATATTCTCTCACTCTCCCAATACATACTCAAAGAATGAAGGAATATAAGCTGAGATGCTAGAATTAAATAAGTTAGGAATCAGAACACACCAAGTAGAGAGAAGAATACTTACCAGCAATCAGAAAGATGGGAAAGAGGTGGGGGACTGGTTGGGGAGGGAAGACGAATCAGAGGATTTCAGACTCACAAAGAGCCCATCTTTCCAAGACCCTCATTATGACCCAAATCCTAGGTACTGCCTTTGGATGTTTAAGTGCTCAAATGGTTTCTTTTGGGGAAAAAAAATGATCATTAAGATGATTGCTAATGTTTCCACCTTCTAGAAAGAACAGACAGAGGGGAAAGAAAACATCCGCTTTAATCCAATCGGATAGGGGCTTTTTTGTTGTTTATTTTTTTAGATGTGGATAGGCCATTCAAAATCACCATTCAGCAGTTAACTCTTCTCAATTCCACGGCAGTGAGCCTTGTGTTTCACGAATATGTTCATATTTAAGGCTCTCCTGTACTTCAGGTTGGCCACATTTGTGAGATAATGAAGCTGTATCTCAATGTGAATTGTACACTTTTATGTGACATTAAGCTCCTTTGTATATTGTCGATGTGTACAGAGCTCACGGAGGCTCTGATCACAGAGGCAGAGGGGTGACGTGGAAAGAACACCAGGAACTGGGAGACTGTGGGTCTGGCCTGTTGGCCACCCACTGGCTACAGGAACCTGAACAAGTCACTACCCCTTGGTGGGCCTCGGCTTCCTCATGTAAAGGTGATGCTGTTGGGCGGATGCTCTCTAGGGATCTTTCCCACTTGGATGGGCTGGGATTCCGATAAACACTCATCAGTTAACTGCGTGTGGGTGGCTAAGGGCTCCACAGATGTCTGAACTACTCTCTCTTCTGAAACATGCATTTTTTTACCTTCCACTGGATAAATACATTCACACACACACACACACACACACACACACACACACACACAGAATCCTGTCTTACAGGACAGTCTCAATTCTCTTTAGAAATGACTAGACATTTCCCAGATAAGTGTCAACAGCCACACTTTCCCAGGCCTCTTGAACAATTTCAGGTACTCGAGAAGAAATCACCGGGCCACAGACGCCAACCGGCATGGGAAGCAGCATGAGCCAGAGCCCCCGACCCCTCCCCCCAAAGCCCATTGGGTCTGATGAGAGGCTTGGGTGTTCCCTCCAGGGCGGCTAAAATACGGCTGAAAATTTCTCACACAAGACTCAGGCCCCTTTCTCCCTGCTGATCCCCAGGAGAACGTGATGCAGACCTCGGTCAAGTTTCAAAGTGGTATTTTTTTGGGGAAAGGAAGAAACACAGTTTAGCACTGGTTCTTGAGAGGCTGTGGGGGCACCGGACTAGTCATTTAGTGACAAGCTCACGAGGCAAGGGAGCCAGACCTGGCCGAGTTCTCACCGCCGTGCACGCAAGCCGCAGCACACACGCAGGCAGGCTCCCTGCCATTTGCTGCGGGGGGGGGGGGGGGGGGGGGGGGGCATGGTTACTTGGAAATTAGATTAAGCTGTAACAACTACATCTGAAAGAACGTGTTTGCTCACTGAACTTCTCATGTAACCATGTTCCACCCTAACAGAGCCAGTCATTTCCAAGGTATTCCTATTTTTCTCAATTGCTTCCAGACAGTTCTGTGGTTTTGACTTGTGCTGATCTTTTTCAATGAAAATAAATGAACCATCTGGAAAAACAAGTACACATAAAACACCACTTCCTACATTTTAAAATGTTAAATTTGGAAATGGTGTTTTCTTCCAGAGAATTTCTGGTGCGTTCTGAGCGCCAACAGGTTTAATAAATACTCTCAGAGACTTGCTGGAGGAGCCAGACCATGGTCTGTGTCCTTCTGACGGCTTTCCAAGGGTGGAACACAGGCACGGCCTGCAGGCCTGATCCTCCCACCCAGTCCTGGGAAAGGTGCTAGGACACCTACCCTCTGAGGTTCCCAGCAGGGGAGGGGGTGTCCCATCAGGAACAGAGCCCAGGGAGGCACATCCCACACCCCTTACGGAAGCAGCAGCCTGCGCTCCTGGCCAGGGCACAGACAGGACATCTGTTCCCACTCAGGTGGCACTCAGCCTTGCCTGGTCTGCAGCAGGCAGCACACGAGGGCCTGGCACACACAGGCAGCGTCGCCAAGTGCACAGCGATGACACCTCTCACCCTGAGGGGCTCCTTGTGCTCCAGACCTCGTGCTGGGGCTCTCCCTGCACTATCTCCAGTCTTTAAACCACCTTCCAGCAGGTTCTAGCCTGCCCTCCTTGCAGGGGAGGGGTGGGGAAGGGCACGAAAGCATTCGCCTCTTCCCCAGAGCGGGACAGGCACAGTCCCTAAGAGTAGAGAGCCAAGTTTTTGGAAGTGCAGCCCCGTCACTCCTCACATTGAAGAGAGGCCGTGAGTGGAGCCCTGGATAAGCCACCACTTTCGGAGGAGGTGACGGCCAGGGCGCTGTCGCAGAAGGAAACCAGACTCGAGTCAGGAAGCCTGTACTCAGGCCTCATGCCACCACTTGCTCCATCTCCTCTTTTACGAAGTCGGGATGGCACATGGCTGCCAGCCCCTCTCGGGCTGTCACGGGATCCAGCGACAACACAAGCCAAAGTGCACTGCAACCAGCAAAGGCCTCCGGTCGCCCGCAGAGCCTGGGCCGGGCCACCGCAACTCACCTGCAGCACTCGGCTCACCTTCCTGAGACCCACCCAGAAGGGACAAATCAACAACACCCCGGCTTTAGGAAACAAAGCTGCTTACTGGGCACTCCTGATACTAGTCGCAGTGGCCGTAACACCCGAAAGGCGCGGAGGGCTTTGACGTCAAAGCCTCCTGATTTGCCACCGGAGTGGTTACCGCCTTCTGTTTCTTTGGTTAATTGTTCCAAAATTACACTAAACAACCTGAAAGAAGAAGAGAGGAAGAAACGTTAGAGTCTGTCACCCAGGGAAGCAAAACAGGATGATAGCAGTAGTTACTTCTGAACAAGGGCTAATTCTGCGTGGCTGCTGCTTAAAAAAGGGAAAGCAAGGCCAAGGCAAGAACCGGGCTGTGACCCCGGAAGGTGACCCCCTGTCTAACATGATTTGGGTCAGGGAATGTTCTCCCATTTCCCTACCAAGGGAACATCCTCAAGCAAGTCCACCAGCATGGCAGAAGGGGCTCACTGGGGTCCAATGATGACAAACGGAATTGCCCCATAGGAATAACGACAACAATAATCATAACGGCTGCCATTTCTGAGCACTCACCAGGTGCTGCCTACTTTACGTACATTATCTCATTAATCCTCACAAACCGTTCTGCAGTAGCAATTATTATTAACACCATTTTACAGCTGAGGAAACAAACTTCCTGGGAGCAAGGCACGTGCCCAAGTTCACAAAACCAGTGGCAGAACGAATGCATGGATCCAGGTATGTTGGCCCCACGAGGATGTAGGTTCCATAGGGCAAGGAATTTTAGCCTGTGCTGTTCATTTGTTCATTGCATCTCTTCTAGGAAACAGTTCCTGATATGTAAGAAGTGCTCAAAAATATTTGATGAATAATTCAATGTATGAATATTGACTTCGAAGTCCCACATCTTCATCGATATGCTTGCCAATATCCTACCTCCACCCTCAAAGGGGGGTGTGCGGAATGATGTAAACCAGAGGCCAGGGAGCTGTGCAAAGGCCAAAGGCAGCAACCTGAGGTATGAAGACCAGCATTTCTTTTGAAATGTGAATAACATTGTATCTGGCAGCCACGACAAATTTTTTCCTACTCTCAGAAGGTTTTTCGGATAAAGCTGTTTCCAAGCGATCTGCTCATTTGCCGGTTACTTTTGCTCTTTCAAATAAACATTTATTCTTTGGAATTGCTGCTTGTTTTTCAGAATAAATATAAATTTGCCCATTTCAAATAGAATCAACTCCGGCCAATCAGATTGTGGGAATGATTGGCCCAGCAACAAAGAAAAGGTTTCTAAAGTTTAATTAGCAGCCAAAGCAGAAACTCGGCCCCCATGGGCACGCCTCTGGATGGCCAAGACACCACGTCCATAAAACACAGGGTGGTCTGAAGTGCAGCCCTGACCCGGCACAGACATGCCATTCCGGGGCACTGAAAGTCCAGTCGTTTGTTTTAGTAACACTGCAGCAATTAGCAATGAACCCAGGCGGGTGAGAGGCGAACTGAGTCAGTCTCTACCTTTTCAAAGCTTCAGATGACAGGCTTCTCTCATTAGCATAGTTTTTTAATGACTGTAAACCCCTGCAGCAAAGCTAAAGTTCAAAGTCTCCCTCCAAACAAGTTTATAGCTTCACAAAAACAAAGAAAGAAAGGGGGAGAAAGAAAACCTCAAACTTCTGAAATGTGGCAGCCACAGGAATTTTCATCCCAAAGGGTTAGGCAAGTAATTTATGCAGGTAGTGACTTAAGATTGCTTTCAAGTGCCAGTGTTTTGCAATGTACACTCTGTGGTCCCTTATCCCCTGTTCTTTAGCAATGTCCTTGAAAACAGGTGAATACTGCCCCTCCCCCACTAGAGGAAGCTGAGTCTGAGAGGGAAGCTGGCTGCTGTTTCCAGACAGCCATGAGTGGAAGTGGTCAGGGGTTGGGGCTGGCTTCCTTCCGGCGAGCTAGGAGGCATTAAAACAAGTCCCTCGCCTTCCCTGGGCTTCAGTTGCCTCTGTGTGAAATGAGAAATGGGATTAAATGATCCAGAGCCCCACACCCTTCCCATCCTAATATTTTGTGATTCTACTCCCTTCAACACCACCCCCAACCAACAAAAATTTACCATGTGCCTAAAGAGATAAGGACATGAGGAGAAAGTATTTGATATTAGATTATTATTAAAAGTTTACCCCAAGCTCTGGCCTGTGTGGCTCAGTTGGTTGAGTGCCATCCCATGCACCAAAAGATCCCCAGTTCTACTCCTGGTCAGGGGACTTGCCTGGGTTATGGGCTTGATCCCCAGTAGGTGGCATGCAGGAGGCAGCAAGTGCTGTTTCTCTCATATCTGGATATCTCCCCCCGCCCTTTCCCCAAGCCCCATCTCCTTCTCTGTCTAAAAATTAATTTAAAAAAACATTAAAAAAAATGTACCCTAAGACAGGAGAAAAAAGGCAAGCAGCTACCTAACCTGACTCAAGTCAGAAGCACCAGAATGAGCACTGCACATCCTTCTTCACAAAGCTTAAATGAAGAGCTGAATGCTCTGTTCATCGAAAAAATCAGAGGTATGGGATAACTGTGGCTCAGATCAAGCGTTCCTAGACAGGGTACAGTATCAGCTCTGGTAGACCCAATGAGTCCTCCTATGGCCACATTTTAGACATATCAATTCCTTTCCCAATGTCTCTGTTACTAGGAATCTTGACAAAAGCAGGTCAGGGCTGACTTGGAATGGAAAATCCATTGGACTGAGATATAGTTTGTAGTTGGAAACTTTAGGGAGTAGGAATTTGATTCCAATGAAGACATTTAATTTTTCACCCTTTTTAACTTTTCTTCCACTCTTTGACTACAATTTAGTGCATATTTTAGAAGAATATTGTAATGTTCTAAAGTTTTTCATATTTAATGGAAAAAAAGACCAAGTCCAGTTCTAATACTTTAACTTCCTTGAATTTTTACTTTTGCAAAAACAATGTTATAGCTGCTAAGTTTTAATAAAATACAACCATTTTAAGCATATCATGGCATGTTTTGACAAAAGTATAAGCCTAAGTAATGACCCCACAATCAAAACATCCAGTATCTCCAAAAGTTCTCTCACGCCTGTTGTAGTCTTCCTCCCTCTAAGCACAGCCTTGGGTAGTGGTTGGCTGATTACCAGTTGGGGCTTTTTCCCTTTTCTTGAATCTTATATAAACAGAACCATACAGCTTGTTCTTTTTTATCTTCTTTTGCTCACCATGTTTTTGAGAGTCATCCAAGTTGTTACATTAATCAGCAGTTCATTTCTTTTTATTGTTGAGTGATACCACAATGACTTACCCATTCACCTGTTGAGAGATATTTGGGTTGTTGCCACCACCTTTTCTCTATTATGAAATAAAGTCTCTTTGTGAACATGTATTTTCCCTTATCTTGACTAAGTGCCTACTAATAATACTGGTAATATGGTCATATGGTAAGTATCTGATTAATATTGTAAGAAATTGGCAAACTTTTCCAAAATGATTGTGCCATTTCCATTTCTACAAGCAGTGTATGAGTTTCAGTTGCTCCATATCTTGGTTACCATTTGGTAGTGTCCATCTTTTTACATTCAGTAATACTAGTGGGTATGAAAATGCTGTCCTTGTGGCTTTAATTTGCATTTCTCTAATTACTAATGTTGAACATCTTTTCAGATGCTTGGTGACCATTACATATCTTCTTTTGTGAAGATCTGTTCAAATCTTTTGCCCATTAATGTACTGGGTTGTCTTCTTACTATTGAGTTGTAAGAGTTCTTTATACATTCTAAATACAAATCTTTAATCAGTATGTACTGCGATTTTTCCCCCCAATTGGTGCATAACTTTTTCATTTTCTTCACACTGTCTTTTGAAGAAAAGTTTTCAATTTTGATAAGGTCCAAATTTTCAATGATTTTATGGCTAGTGCTTTTTGTGTCCTAAGAAATCTCTGCCTCCCCTAAGGTCATAAAGATTTTCTCCTAAACATTTTATAGTTTTAATTTTCACATCTAGGTCTAGGATCTGTTAAGGTAGCATCTATATGAAGTATGAGGTAAGAATAGAGTCTTCTTTATATACGGGGGAAATAGTTGTTCCAGCACCATTTGCTGAAAAGAGCTTCCTCAACCCATTGAATGACCGAGGAACCTTTGTCTAAAACCAATTTTATGGGGGGGGGGAAAGAATTGCTTTTGGCCTGGTGTGCTCAGTGGTCGAGCATCAGCCTATGAACCAGGAGGTCACGGTTTGATTCCTGGTCAGGGCACATGCCTGGATTGCGGGCTCCATCTCCAGTGTGGGGCACGCAGGAGGCAGCTGATCATTGTTGTTTCTATCTCTCTCCCCCTCTCCCTTCCTCTCTGAAATCAATAAAAATAAATTTAAAAAATAATAAAAATAAAACCAATTTTATGAGGCTATTTCAAGACTCTATTCTGTTCCATTGATCTTGATGTCTACTCCTTATGTCAATATCACAGTCTTGACTACTTACTGTAGTTTTATAATAAGCCTTAAAATCAGGTTCTAGCTTTGTTCTTAAATATGTCTTTAGCTACTCTAGAGCCTATCTAATTTCCATTTAAATTTTCAAATAAATTTGTCACTCTATATAACAATCTTGCTGGGATTTAGATTAGGATTCACTCTGTAGCTTAATTTAAGAAGAACTGATATCCTAACAATATGGAGTTTTCTAATCTATGACACTGTACATCATTCCATTTATTTAGGTCTTCTTCAGTTTCTCAGAAAGGTTTAGTCATTTCAATGCACTATCCCTACATATTTCATGTTTGTTAATGCAACAGTAAATAGCAGTCTTTAAAATTTCATTTTCCAATAGTTCATGACTATTACATAGAAATTCTCAGGGTTTTTTTCATACTGACCTTTTACCCAGAAGAAACATTGCTAAATCATTCAGAAAACATAACTTTGTTTGATTTTCATCCTTTTAAATACACTCAGACCTGTTTTATGTCCCCAGATATGTCTCTCGTGGTTAATACTCCATGTGCATATGAAAAGAATGTGTATTCTACTCTTGTTGGTGGGATGTTCTAAAAATGTCAATCAAGTCAAGTCGATTGATGGTACTGTCCAAACCTCCCTGTGTCCACAGTGATTTTATGTCTACATGTTCTATCAACACTCCTCGAGGGTATTAAAATGCACAATTACAACTGCAGATTTGTCTGTTCCTCCTTTCAGGTCTATCAGTTTTGTCTTTGTGTATTTTGGAGCTCTGTTATTAGGCACATGCATACTTAGGATTATTACGTCTTCTGGGATTAAATGACAACCTTTATTATTATGAAATTTCTCTCTTCGTTCTTGATAAGACCCCTTGTTTTTAAGTCTGCTTTGTTGGATATTAATATAGCCACTCAGGCTTTTCTTAGTGTTTGCATTTTATGTATTTTTCTGTCCTTTTACTTTAAAATTGTTTGTGTCTTTATATTTAAAGTAGTTTTTATAGACACTATAGAGTGGGGACTTTTTAACATATAAAACCTGATAAACTCTGCCTTCTAATAAGGGTTTATAAATCTGGGTTTAAATCTACCATCTTGTTATTTCTTTTCTATTGCTCTGTCCATTGTTAGTTTTTCTTTCTCTGTCTTTTTTGGGTTGAGCTTTTTTAAAAACAAACAAACAAACAAAAAAAAAAACATTTAATCTCCTCCAATACACGCCTGTTAGTTATATCTCATTATTTTTCTAATGGCTCGTTTAGAACAAATGTCAGCAAAAAACTTCTCTAAAGTGCCAGAGAGTATCCCTTGTAGGATTTGCAGGCCATAGAGTCTCCGTCACAACTACTCAACTTTGCCATCCTAACACCAAATAGCCATAGACATGAATGAATGTGACTGTCTTCCAATAAAATTTTATCTATTAAAGCAAACAGCAAGACACTTGTCAATGTCTGGGGAGGAGGGAATGGCAGTACACCAGATTTGGTCTATGGGCTGAAGTTTGCTGGCCCACACTCCAGGGTTTACAATATACATCTTTAACTTATCACAGTCTACCTTCAAATAATATTTTGTCACTTCACCTACCATACAAGCACTTTGCAGTAGTATATGGCTCTTTTTCCTTGTTCCTGCCCTTTGTACTATTATGTATCTTACTTTTATAGATGCTATAAACCCCATAATACATTGTTATTCTTTATGCTTTGAATAATAAATTAATTTTAAAGAGATTTTAAAATGAGAAATGTGTTTTAATATTTATCTAGATAATTACCCTTTCTGACATTCTTTATTCCTTTTTGTAGATCCACATTTCTTTCTGGTGTCATTTTCCTTCAGTGTGAAGATATTCCTTTAACATTTGTTGAGATGCAGATCTACTGGTGATGAATTCTCAGCTTTGGTTTGTCTGAAAAAGTTTTGGGGTTTGTTTTTGTTTTTTAATTTCAATTTTGAGATCTCTTCGCTGAATAAAAAAATTAGGTTCCCTAGCACTTTAAAGATGTTGCTGTAGTGCTTGCTGGCTTGCATAGTTGCTTACAAAAAGTCTGTAACATCTTTTTTCTCCGATTGCTTTTAAGATTTCCTCTTTGGTTTTGAGCAATTCAATTATGATTATAAAGTGCCTTGATGTAGCTTTCTTCATGCTTATTTTGCTTGAATTTCTTGGATTTTTTAGTTTATATTTTTTATCGCATTTAGAAAAGTTGGGGCCATTCCTTAAAATATTTTTTTTTAAAATATATTTTATTGATTTTTTACAGAGAGGAAAGGAGAGAGATAGAGAGTTAGAAACATCGATGAGAGAGAAACATCGATCAGCTGCCTCCTGCACATCTCCCACTGGGGATGTGCCCACAACCCAGGTACATGCCCTTGACCGGAATCGAACCTGGGACCCTTCAGTCCGCAGGCCGACGCTCTATCCACTGAGCCAAACCGGTTTTGGCCTTAAAATATTTTTTGCTGTCTCCCCTCGATCTCCTCTCTTCTGGGATGCCAAATGTGTGTATGCTAAAGCACCTGATATTGTCCCACGAGTCACCAGGTGTATTCATATTTGTATCCATCATTACTCTTTGTGTTACTGCAATGTCTTCGTGATCCTTGATATTTTTTCTTCTAATGTGTCTAGCCTGCTATTAAGCCAATCCAGAGAACTTTCATTTCAGATATTTGTCAGCTCTCAAAATCCCATTTTTTTTATAATGTCCCATCTTCCATCACTGTAGTCATTCATTCCTTTAAATCCATAAGCATATTTATAATAGCTATTTTTAAAGTTCTGTAAAATAATTCTCTACTAATTCCATCATCTCTGTCATTTCCAGGTCTGTTTCTATTGATGGAACTTCCTCCTGGTTATGGGCCACAGTTCTTCAGATGCCTAGTGATATTTGGCTGGATGCTAGACATTGTAAAATGTCTGGATTTTGTTGTCTTCTTTTAAAGAGTGTGGCGTTTTCTTCAGTGGGCAGTTAGGTTACTTGCATATCAGTTTTCTCCTTTTCAGGCTTCTTTCCAAACATTATCAGTAAGGGTTTCAGGTAGTCCTTACTCTGCAGCAGAGGCTGGCAAATTTATTTCGCAAAGGGCCAGATAGCAAGTACAGGGTGGGGCAAAAGTCGGTTTACAGTTGTTCATAGGGAAAATAATACAATAATTAATAAGTAATAACCCAAGAATAAACTCTGTGTTTCACATATTCACAACTGTAAACCTACTTTTTCCCCATCCTGTATTGTAAACATTGTGGATCTAAACTACTCAATTCAACTCTGTGAACAAATATATGACACTGTTATAATAAAACCTTATTTACAAAAATCAGTGGCAGGCTGGATTTGGCCTGTTGGCCATAGTTTGTCAACCCCTGCCTGGAGCTAGTTTATCCCCAATACTAATGTCCCTCTGGAGTCTCTACTGACATTCCAAGGTGTTCAATGACATCTTTCCATGCTGGTTGGTGTTCCCTAACAGTGTTCTTTGCCTGGCCTCACAGAATCTCACCCCACGTAATTGTAGCTGAGCATTCAGTCAAAACTCAAGAGGACCCCAAGGCATATTTATAGAGCTCTTTCTCTGAATAGCTCCCTCCCCTTCCACACTAGGCCTCTCAAATTTCAGCCACCTCAGCCTCCCTGAGCTCTTGTTTCTGTCTCAACGAGACCACCACACTGTACCTGGTTCCCTCTCTGTGCTGTACTACAGCCTGAAAAATGTCTCCAGGCAGAAAGCCAAGGTGACTGAAGAGTAGGGACAAAGAAATGGAGCTAAGAATCTCCATCCTCCAGGGCCAGGAGAGGCACAGCAAGATTATTCCAGAATCAAGAGACCTGCAAGGTTCCTGCTAGCCTGTTGGAGTTCACCAGATACAGGAAGGCATGATACATATCTATCACCTATTCATTTTAGCTGCACTACCTTGGCTGTCATACCTTAGATGCCAATATACTATGGTGAGTTTTGCAAAAGCTAACTTTTTTCCCATAAGTCTATAATTATCCCACTGGACCACCATTGTGGATCCCATTTTAACTTCAAAGGTTTGAAATTAGAGGCTCAAAAGTTTTCCCACTCTCCCAATATCCAACTAGATTAGTCTCCCATAAAAAGCCAAAGGATTCATGATAAAAGAATAATCCAAAAGATAAATTATCTTGCTCAACTATGAAAGGTAACTGAACAAGTCATAGCGATGAAAACAGAGAGGTCATTTAATAGTCTCTCTCTAAGACCAAAAGTAATTTTAGGAGCAACCCATTTTGTAGCTGGGTAACAAAGACTCAGCGATGGGATCTAGTTTTTTTTTCCGTGTGGGTATTTGGTCCAAAGATCCAGCATTCCTCCGACACTGATTCGTTTTTCTCTTGCTGGCCACATTTCCAGGTGTGGAAGGACCAGAATAACACAGGCCACTGGTTTTCATTTTACCATTTTCCTTTAAATAAAACTGTTGGTGTCTTCTTCCTGTGACAGGATTTCGGGATAATGCCTGCCTCTTTTCATTTTCTGGCTTATTTCATTTCATGCCAGATATCTGATATTATTCAGACACTTGTTTTGTTATTTAAAATGGGATAGTAGCATGCCAAAGTTTTTCCCCACAAGTCAGCAGAAAGAATTAATAGCTTTGCTCAAGGGATGTTAAACAGCAGAGTACCTCACTGCTATAAGGATTTATTACTTTTTTACTATTCTGAGTTTTTTTTAAAAAATTTAACAGGGTTAAATTTTTAAAAAATTTAACACATTTGACTCAAATCACCAGTAGGGCTGGCTTATTTGTGGAAGCCAGAGGCCCTGTAAGATGAACCCTCTCACATCAGGAGCTTAGACTTCCTGCTATAGCCATTTCTGAAAGCACGAGTAAAAACCATGAGAGATTTCTTTTCTTTTTTTTTTTTTTCTTGTCCTCACCTGAGGATATTTTTTCCATTGATTTCTAGAGAGTGAAAGGGTGGGAGGGAAGGGAAAGAGAGAGAGAGAACCATCGATGTCAGAGACACATCAATTGGTTGCCTCCCGCAATGTGCTCTGACCGGGGCTGGGGATCAAAGTTGCAACCCAGGTATGTGCCCTTGACTGGGAATAGAGCCCTCAACCCTTTGATGCATGGACTGATGCTATGACCATTGAACCACACCGGTCAGGGCAAAACCATGAGAGCATTTCAAACCAGTTCTGCCTGGAGATTGCCAGCGGCATCACCAGTCTTCAAAGAACTCCTGACAGGTCTGGCTGCAATCACCGGCACAGAGGTATAACCACATTTCCTCAAAAGACGCAGTTCTTCTATCCCTCCCGCCTCCCATTTTCCAAACAAACATCTCCCCCAAAATAAAAGGGACTTACCCTACTATTACTATAACAAAATCCAGTAAATTCCATCCATTCCTAACATAAGCATTAGGATGTAGCAATAATCCATAAGCTATAATCTTCAAAAATGTCTCGACTGTAAAAATAATCAGGAAGGCATATTCTACTTTTTCCTGTGAAGAAAAACAAAGAAAAGGGAGGGGGGAGAAGAAGGAGAAAAGATTTTAAAAATACAGATTAAAATATTAGAATCAATTTCCAAGCATTTTTCTCCAAGTCACATTTTCATTAGGAGAAATGGAACCATTTACACTGCACCTGGGCCTGGGAGGCATGCTCCTGCTCACACTGAATTCCTCATAAGCAGCTAAGCATAACCCTCTTTTCACTGGGGGCTGCGTGATTGCATTTTGCCACCTGCCCTGATGCATGTGCAATGAGACTGCTAGGGCATAACGGGCATGCTTGTTATTTGCACACATTTGCAAAACGCAGCATGTTTCCTCCTGAGGCTGCCAAACCGGGCCCAGAAAAGCACGAGGGTGCAGCAAAGATTCCAACGGCAGCTTTGAAGGGAACGTCCTGTGGGAGAGGGGAAGATGTGTCTGCTTTGACCCTCTCTTGATCGTGGGTTTATATCTGACGTCTAAGTCAGGGTCAGCTTTGTCACTGAGCAGCACGGTGACCTTGGCAAAGCCCCGCCTCTCCTCTGGACCTACGTTTCCTCACCCACACGCACAGTAATGGGGGTGAATTCAGGATAGGAAGGCCACAGTCTGCTTATCGGCATGCCACCTTTCTCGGGTGACCCTGCTGAGTGCTGAGTGGTCACCACGCATGTTCCCAGGCCAGGCTCAACCTTCTCTGCTCAGCAGTCATTCCCACGCCATTGCCACAGACCTCCGAGACTCCGTCCTCGGGCTACATGAACCTTCCCAGTTCCAACTCCTGCATCTCCACAGATATAGAAAACACACCCATCAGTCTAAAAATGTTGACTTTTCCCTCTTTTTTAAAGGTTTTCTTTATACAACTTCAGCTTTCCTAGAAATATGGGCCGACCGAGATGTGTGTGACTAATTTTACAAGAGGCATTCCCTGGTAAGAAGCTACTTAAATAATAACTAGATGAAAAATCCTCAGGAATGAAACTCTTCCATATGGGCCGTAACATCCTCTACTGATATGAACTCTACACTGTGGGACCTGAAGAAAGTCACCAAGGTCAGGAAAAGGAAGCCAGGAATTCACTTATTAAGATGCCTGGTGCACGAGGTCAAGTCAGCCTGGCCCAGGAAACACTCAGTGAGCATCTCTTCTGCTTGGCAGACCCATACCCAGAGCCAGGTAGAAAAAAGTCTCCACTGTGGTCCCCAGCCTCAAAAGGCTTAGCCTGGTGGGGGAGGGGGCGAGGGGAGGTTTCTAACGTGCACACAGAGACAGTCCCCAGAGGTAAGTGACAAAGAGCGAGTCAGCATCATTAGCCGTCTGATAAGGCCAAAGGGCTCATCCACTTCTCCCCGCAAGGCCTCCGCTTTGTTGCATGTATATGACTGCTCTTTTGCCTCAGCCACCCTGGGCTCAAGGCATCTGCCACCAGTGCTACGCCTCTGCTGCTGGCCAGTTCCAGTCCCCGGCTGAACTTCTGCGTGTCTTCTCATGGCATCCTTCCTCTTTAGCACCAGGGGAACCATCCGACCACTACAGTACCCCAGGCTTCACCCCCACTCCCAACTCCCCACTGGTTCTGCCAGACAACCAGTTTACCAGTTCTTCCTTCCCGGTCCCTGCCATTCCTAACCTGCCCTCAGAGTGCCTTTCATCCTCAGCACACCGTCATGGCAGCCTAATAGATTCTTTTGTGCAGTGAGCTAGCCAGAGTCAGTGGGTTTTCCATTTTAAAAGCCCAGTTTGATACGCATCCCTATGTTTACCACAGCATGATTTACAATAGCCAAGATATAGAAGCAACCTAGGTATCCATCAATAGATGAATGGATAAAGAAGATGTGGTACACATATACACGGTGGAATATTACTCAGCAATAAAACAGAACGAAATCTTGCCATTTGCAACAACATGGATGGACCTAGAGAGCATTATGTTAAGTGAAATAAATCAAACAGAGAAAGACAATTACCTATGATTTCACTTACATGTCGAATCTAAAAAGAATAAACAAAACAACAAAAACAGACTCATCAAAACAGAGAAGAAAGGTAAAGGGGGGATAAATGATGGAAGGGAACTTGACTTGGGGTGGTGAACACACAAAACAATATACAGATAATGTATTATAGAACTGTACCCCTGAAACCGGTATAATTTTATTAACAAATGTCACCTCAATAAGTCCAATAAAAATAAAATAAATAAATTTAAATAGTAAAAATAAGTAAAATAGAGAACAAACTGAGAGTTGCCAGAGGGGAGGGAGATAGGGGGATGGGTGGAAAAGGTGAAGGGTAGTAAGAAGTATGAGCTTCCAGTTATAACATAAATATGCTACAGGGCTGTAATACACACACAGGGAATGTAGTCAATAATATCGTAATAACTTTGCACGGTGTCAGATGGGTACTAGACTTATAAGGGTGATCACAGTGTAAGGTATATAAATGTCAAATCACTACAATGTATATCTGAAACTAATATAACGTTGTATGCCAATTATACATTTTTTAAAGCCTAGCTCCTCCACAGCCTCCAGACCCATGCTTCCTCCAGACCTTCCCAAAAAAAATCAGGCCCTGTCCTGGGGTTGCTCATCCCATGCACCCCAATCCTTCCTCCAGGCGGTGGACAACTTCCTTGGCTATGACATCACCGCCTCCCCCAGTCCAGGCTGAGGTGAGCAGGTTGCAAAATGCTCCCAGAGCAGCAGCATGCGGAATATTCCCCCTTCCTGCCACACGCAGACCTCCAAGGCCTCTGGCCACTCTCCATACTCCCTGTAACCTCCATGAACACCCGGCTCCTCTCCTGGGCACTGCCTTGTCCCTGAGCGGGTGCTGCCATGGGAGGGGCATTCACTCCACTGTGGATGTTCTGAGGAACAGGGGCCCACTGTGCTATTGGGTGGGGAGGAGACACCAGGAGGGCTGCCGTGAGGCAGTGACGTTAACTTTGAGAGCTAAAAGCAGAAGCAACAATCCCTGAAAATAGCAATCCACCGCACTGAAATTAGACCCTGGCCACCAAATGTGGATTTTCAGTATGTTTTGGAGACTTGGAGTTCTAAGGGCACAGGATAAGCTGAAAACAGCATGCTGATTTTATAATTTCACTCCCCCTTTTATCCCTTCTGCTTTATTTACTAGGCCAGACAGGGGGAGGAAGCTTTTGCTGCCATCAATATTCATAGCAGTTACATGCCTACGTCAACACAGTGCTATGCTTTAGAGCAGAAAAACAAGACAAGGAACAGAGAGTACACCTACCAACACTGCTTGTTTTTCCTCTTTGGTTTTCATTTATAAGTAATTTTGCCACAATAATACAAGGCCCATTTGTATAACTGAATTGTTGAGGGCTCTTTTATCCCCCTCTCTTGTCCTCTTCTCTCTCCTTTTTATAGAATTTGGTTTCTCTTTTCAGAATCCTCAGTGCACTACTGGATGAAACTGACTACAAGAAATACAACTTGCTTTAATGTGATGCTTTATCACAGAGGCGCTGCCATAAAGCCAACTCAACATCAGCCTGGAGGGCAAGGCAGACCTTCTGCCTAGAAGCCAGTGTCATCCTGGTCCCCGGTCCTGCTGTTGAAAAGGACTCCTACGCAACAAATGCCCCTCCACATTAAGCAAATGTCATGTAAAGAACATCTCGCAAAACAACAATTGGGGGGGGGGGGCAGGGTCATTATTTACTTCACACACACACACACACACACACACACACACACACACACAAAGTTGCTCATTTGAGGAAAGCATGTTGAGTTAGTCATGTGAGAAGGAAGCCGGATTCCTAACTGGGCAAGGTCGGAGTGGGCACGGAGCTGAGGGGCCGGTGAGGTGTCCATGGAGAAGGCATGGAGTCTGTGCAGGGTGGAGGAGAGTATGTCGGAAGGATGAAGGAACGGGATGAAAAGAGGCAGGCAAGAACCCTCCAGAAGTGGATCGGAACCAAGGTGTCCCAGGGCTGTGCTGCCCTTTAAAGTCCTATCCCAGGCTAAACAAACAGAGTAAATGATCCCTGCACCTCAATGTCTGCATTTGCCAGGCAGAGTCACGTGACAGGGGATCTGGGTGGGCAGGGCCAGTCAAACCTCCTTTTAAGAAACCACCAGCCCGGCCAGTGTGGCTCAGTTGGTTGAACGTCATCCCATGTACCAGGAGGTCGCTGGTTTTATGCTCAGTCAGGGCACATGCCTCTGTTGTGGGCTCCATTCCCGATAGGGGGTGTGTAGGAGGCAGCCACAGCCTATCGATGTCTCTCTCATTGATGTTTCTATCTCCCTCTCCCTCTCCCTTCCTCTCTCTGAAAATCAATAAAAACATATTTTGTTAAAAAGCTAGTAGCTAATCAAAAAAAAAAGAAAGAAACCACCAATTCCTCTTAATCAGATACCAATCTATATATGAGTGAAAGTCCCTCATGAGACCTCAAGCCACCAAAGAAATAAAGGCACCAAATTTAATTCTGAAACCTGACTTATTTTCTTTAAACATCGAAGTTTCACCAAACAGAAGAGGCTCCACCAACAGTCTCTAAACCAGTTACCTCTACACAGAACCGTGAGAAACAGAAACTGCAACTGGCAGGGAGTGGGAGGGGCCAGGACCCTCCATGCCTTTGCCTACCTGCTTCCCCCACACACTGTGCCTCCCCCAACATATGGGGCTCTTTTCCCCCCCAACCCCCCCGCACTCAGTGAGCACATAACAAGCCCAGCACTGCTGACTGGAATGAACTTGGAGTCATAAATAACATCTGTTTTCTACGAGCCCAATTCAGGTCTACTTCCCGTCCCCTCTTTCTAGAATGGTTTCCCTCATCCTGCTTTCATTGGGCTAAGTTCTACTCTTCCTTCAAGGCTCAGCTTAAATGACACTTTCTCAGCGAAACCCCTGCTGACCTCCCAGACAAAATCAGGGCCTGCTGTTAGGTGCTGTCAAAACTCATTACACTTCTTCATAACTTTATTTGCAAATTTTAAATTCTTTA